GAGAACGATTAGGGTTCTCGTCCAAAGCCTTTAGTTCTAACAAGAACCTGACCGCAAGGCAGCGAGTGAAGCGAAGTAGGATCAATTACTCCTCTACCGTTTTACCCGCCGAGACGCTAACTCGAGTCGAACCCCCAACCTGGAGACTGAACTTCGTCTGACTTCTACCCTTCGATCTTCCAGGCATGATTAGATCTGCGGCTTGATAAAGACCATCCTGTGTAGCTCGTGGGGTCAGAGAGGTGCACAAGCCATCACACCACGTCAAGGTGCAGTCTCGTCAGAACGGTCTAAAAATCTTATAGTCCGACGCCTGGTCAGATCGTTACACTGGTAATCACTGAGTCCGGATTTCACACCGTATCTAACGTCAATCACAAAAGAAAAGGGCGATTCTGATCGATTACTTAAGCGGTTTTTCGCTTATGCGGCTTGCGATTGTGAAGGAACAAATGCATGTTAAATTACTGCTTCTACAATGTAAGGGAGGCCCAATGACTTCGAAACACAGTACACTAAAAAAGTGTATCATTTATTATATTACTAGATCAAAGATGACAAGTAAATATGCGTGAGAGCGGTTGGTAGAACGCATAGTTTCCGAGTTTTAGACATGAACATCCAACCGGGAGAATGGGAACCGTCAAAACGATCTAAAAAAGACAGAAGACCGAATAAGACTCCAACAGCATACATAAGGATTGCTGTCTCGAACATTTACAAGTTTCAAAAAACGCCAAGCAACCGCTTTCCTCAGACCAGGATCACCGTGACCATCAGACTACACTTATAACTACTCGGAAGCATCTCATCTAAGTTTCATAACGAATGCTAGTTTGAATCGGAACATAACAATAAAGAACTAACCGTATGCCTTCATTCTCGATATATATATATATATGCATTGTCTAGTCATTCACATACCACTTATTATGAAATATATATGTATATACCTTAAGATTACCCATTCTATGGGAGAAGCAATGCCGCTGTTCACCATAGATCCATTCTCGAAGTGCAACCACGAGAAAACAGGTGTCCGCGATCACCGGGGACGAATCAAACATCAAAGTTGGTGAATCTCCCAAATTATTACACAAAACTCGGCCGCCTAGTCGTAGTGGGATCCTGCAAAGAAATCGTGCGTCAGGCAGTCGACCAGAGTTTGGCACTTTCTACGAGATACGCGAGCGCTTTAGTGCGTGGAGCTAAAGTGCAGCCAGCTTGTGAGAGCCGTTCCAAGTGTTGAGTGAGTCAAACTAGCACTGACCGCTCCAGTTAAAATCCCAGCAGATTTGATGGAAATAGGTAGCCGACAAGAATGAAACGACTTCCAATGGGGTTCCATCGGTGAGTACCACGTTGCATTTTCACGACGAACTGACTGGCAAATTCATATCAAATCCGCGAAACCTTTCCATAGAAACAACGCGTTACATCTAACCGAATACGATCCGTTTTTCTGGACTATCCAATACGTGCTAAAACTGACCCGTCAGTCTACCAACTACACTAACAGAATGGCGATTAGTAGCAATCTGGAGAACTCCAATTTTTAGCGGCCACCCGCTCGGTACACTTACACGTGAAACGGATGGTTTTAGTTCGTACACGAATGAACTACGTACACGTGATGGCGCCCAAAAGGGTAGCTCTGTTTGGTTGCAAATGATGCATGGGACAAATGTCAAAAGCAGCCAACCCGTGATATCCCCAACCAAGCGAAATAACAAGCGACGTATAGATACATGATAAATCTCTTCAATAGACAGAGGTGTAAGGAACTTTTCTACAAAACACAATGGGTCACTAAACGAAAAAAATGTGGTATGGTGTTTACTGTACCAACCTAGTAGGACCGCACTTTCGGTGGAACAGTGGGACATTTCTTGGCATCCAGAGTGTTGTCGATCACAGGTCGGTATTCCAGATTAACTTTTCCTGTTTTTATATCTTGGTAGCTCAATGTGTGTTTGCGCCAATGTTCATTGAAGGGTTTACGAGTCTGACCCTCTGGTGGCTTCGAATAGTCAATCTCGTCCACTCGATTCGGGAAATCTTC